GAAAATATGTTATTATAATGGGAGAATATATTTTTTTTAATGTACAGAAACAGACTTGACTATGCATGGAATCACTTGAATTACAATCATATATCATTTCTAATATGAACACAAGTATTCAATGGTAATTCAACTTATACAGTACATTGAAACTCATGTTATGGTTGCATGGAGGATAATTTTTGAAAGTATTTTATCAACTAAATATCAATAATTTTTAATTTGTTATTCTCAACTAAGCTTTGAGTTTGGCACGAAAATTCGAGAGGCGCTATTTTAAATTTAACTGACTTATTTAAGATAGCCAGTATAGTATAGTTTTACTAGAACTGTGGATATATATATACTACTTGTTATCGACATGCTATTGATTGCCAGATTGATGTTTTTCTGTTAAGAAAAGCACATTACTGGATCTTGTAATAATAAAATTATTGATTTACATAATGAAATACGAATAAAAATTATCATTCAATTAATCAATCCAACATTATTGATTTTTTGGGGTTGTTGTTGTTGATATTGTAATGTGTAAAATTTCTACCGATATGAACAGATATTGTTAAATATTTAATGCAAAAAAGTAACCATTAAATTTTGTTTGATGATTTAATTCAGAATATGAAATAACAGTATGATTTTCGTGATGGAGTTGTGAAGGCTGTTGAGTTTCATTGAAACCATGAATCGATCATTGTTAGACAACTGATAAGTCCCAAACTATGATGAAACAGCTGTCCAATGCTTTCAGGTTTCCAACAATGATCTAACAATGATTGATTCATGATTTCAATGAAAATAACAGTCTGAAACTTATGGTTGCAAGAAATGAATATCACTGAATTTGTCAAGTATTTTGATAGTGATTAGAAGAGGAGTTACGAAACCTCATGAAGAAAGCCGAGTTTGTTCGGAAGTCATTAGGCTGATGCCCCTTCTGACAACTAGAACAGTCATTATTAATATGGAATATACGTACATCGTGTCACCTATGACATAGCATCAAGAAACAGATCAAAAGGGGGATACAATCAAAACAAAGGTGCAAACAACAGCAACCAATCAAGATCGAGGTTAACAGAACAAGCTATACAGGTCAAACGTGGAGAAATTCGAATGCTTCACTTCTATCTGAAGTTTATGCTGATGATGTTGTTCAGAAGAACAATGAAAGCTCCAAAATCAAAACAACCAGCTCAGAGAACTAAACATCACCGCAAAAATGAAAAGAACGAACAGTAGTTGGGTAGAACTGGAAAACAAGGCGCAGGATAGAGTCGAATGGAGACAACTAGTCGGTGACCTCTGCTCCAATAGAAGTACACGGAGTAAAGAGGATAAAAAAAGATTATAGGAATGATTTAATTTAATAATTTCTCAGTAAATTATTGATGAATTACTATTGATGGATATGTTATAAATTAGCTAAGTAAATTAGAATAAAAATTTTTTTTTTCGAGCAGAGTTTTGGAGGTTTGTGTTTTTACACATTTGAAAACATCAATCAATCATTGTTAGACAACCATTAGAAACCTGGAAGCACTGAAGGACGGACCTTTCGTCCTGGTATGAGACTCGGCAACAGTGCGCATTCACGATTCCTGAACCTCTCAAGATTCGAACCCGGGACATTTGGTAATGTGCGCGAACGCCTAACCATTGGACCACTGGGCCGGCATCCAACGGTGTTAATGTCTAACTCTGATTGATTTACGGATTTCGCGCAACCTCATCCATTTGTGTTTGGTAGTTACTGCCTACACTCGACAGGGTTGAAATCCATTGGTTACGTCTTCGCAACTAGAACTTTGAGAGTTTCCTCACGAAGCTACTCACTAGTGAGCACTGTTACGATACTTTCAGGCAGAGTTTTGGAGGTTTGTGTTTTTACACAATACCGAGGGTCCTGGGTTTGAATCCTGAGAGGTGCAGAAATCGTGAATGCGCACTGCCACTAATGAGTCCCATACCAGGAAGAAACGTCCGTCCTTCAGTGCTTCCAGGTTTCTAATGATGGTCTAACAATTATTGGTTGATGATTTTAAATGTAGAATAAAATTGTTGGTCTAGAATTTCAAGTCGATTTTTTGTTTTTTTTGTTTACCACTTTTGAAATAAAGTTGACTTTCGACAAGAATTATTTTATTGATAAATTAATCAATGAAATTGAATCATTCGGACGATTGTTTTATTTTTTTTTTTAAAAAATTAATTCATTAAAACTGATATTG